TATGCCATAACTTCCATACTCTGAGTTTAAAAATGCAATAATTGAAATTTCAGAATGCCAATTTTCATTGGCAGACACACAATAAAAATTTTTATTTTTTACATAACCATAAATGTGTGTTGATTTTTATATTCTCGACCGCAAGAAATATGCCTTATGTAAATCAGGTCGTCGTGTTGATTTTATTTTAATGGCATTGATTGATTTTAGGTTCTATTTAAAATTAATTGATTGCTTGATTAAAACTACAATCCTCTATATATATTTGAATATATAAACAATCCCAGATCAAAACACGTCGAGGCAATGAGGAACTTGATAATGCATCTAATGCTACTCCTACCGTGACTACTGCCATCAATAATCCTAAGCTAAATTGACATGGACAATGAATGCGAAAGATTGTAAATTGTTATTAATAGAAAAAGATTTGCAAAAGCATTAATGACTGCATAACATTATGGGCCAAACGTAAACTTACGCAAGTAGTGCAATAATTACATAAATTCGTATCAGAAAAAATTTCTAAAGCCAGCCAAAATTACATCCAGTGTAAACATTATATATATTAAAACTTATGAGCGTAATATTATAGCGGAAAAAATTTCCTAATGTAATAATGGCTGAGGGTTTACCTTTTGGGTGAAAGGTTTGATTGATAAATAATACATGGATTACAATGCAATAAAGTCTGTGGTTCGATCGACGATGACTTATTTTATGGAGAATGATCATTATGACTGATCAAGTACAATATGTTTCAAAAATAGTTGCCCTCGCAAAAACTAAAATATCTCAAAAATCACACTCTAATTAAATGGAACGGAATTATTTATATCTGTATCATTTACTTAAATGTAATGGATAACACATTGACGAATCAAGGAATATAATTTGCCACAAAATAATGTGAATAACCATTGCCAAGTCTTGATTGAAAAGAAAAGTTAATTCAGTAATGGAGAAACATTACAATAAATACGGAAACTAAAAATCAAATAATAACCAGAAACAAAACCATAAACCGACCAATGTATTATGACTTAACAACACTTGAGGCATAAAATGAATTACAAGTCAATTTATGATGCTAACAATATACAAGAAAAATTAATATAAAAAATTTGATGATGGAACACGTTCTAGTAGTCTGGGTTGGCTTCAAACCGAAGGCCCAGCCACAGATACTAAGTTCAATCTAAACATCGACATTCTTCAAAACTTGCTGCTGTTTTTAGCATTCTTTTGACATCACTAAATGATGTAGATGTTACTATACACACAGACTATCTCTCAGTTATAAACAACCACGAATATCTGTATATGTAAATCCACAAAATTTAGATAATACTAGATTGTGTTTAAAACAAAAATATCATAAATAGAATAAAAACAAAACTTGTTAAAAGTCAAATCTCATCAAATAATGTCATTGCAGGCCAAGTAGCAATAACAATATATTCACCATGGTGTATTATCCTAATGGAATCTTAATACAAAAACCAATAAGAAGTTTTAGATCTATTTGAAGGTTGAATCTCTGAAAAGATAAATTGGAACGATACCTGGTTGAATCAACAACACAATGATATTTCCCACGTGAAAAGTAGATCATATTTGTGACAAGTATTGGGCGTGAGAAAAAATAGAGCGTACAAGAAATCAACTTCTTTGTTTAAAAAATTACACCAATTCAATTCGTGACAAATATAAAAACTTGCTTATTTATAAAAACAACAATGTTATCAACAACAATGATATCAGGCTAAGTGTTGCATTAAAAGGTATCATTCAAAAAAGTTTAGTAATAGAATGATAAAACCAGCAATAAATTAGCCTCCAAGCCAATAAAAATTATAACATTGGGGCAAGGAAAAAAATTTGTTTGAAAGATGTGAAGAGGCGGCTATCTGGGAGAAAAGAATGGAAATGACAATAAAAGCTGTCAACGACGATGATAATAATAGCATGGTGGATATAAATATTAATAATAATAATAAAAAAGGAAGAAAGAGAAGCCGAGAATGGAGATTAAGCGTAATTTTTGTTAAACAAATAAGTATTAGTATACAATTTTTTTTGTAGTTGTGGACTCATTTTTAACACGAATAAATCCGAGCTAATTTGGGTTCTATTTAAATAAGGCTTATTGCAATTAATTGAAATCTTCAAATTACATTAATTCTATTTATAATTAATTCATTTATTATTATTATTCGTTTCTTCAAATAAAAATTTATTTGAATTCAAAATTGGCATGTATCACAAACAGAAACCTAGGCTTTTTTGTGCAGAAAAATATTTAACATTCAATTTAATAGTGATACAAAATAATCACAATGGTGTGACCTTACTATTTACCATTTGTACTTTGTTCATCAATATTAATATTAATATCAATGGCAGCTAAACCAAAGGAAATACGAACAATAGTTGCTTGGCTGCCCAATTAGCTTACACGGAGGATCTCGTGAAATTTTTTAGTATGCATGCATATATTTGTAGCAAATGTTAATCTATTTAAACAACAAACTCCACTTTTTTAACAATAATACAAAGTTATGTAATACACACATGTACACACACAAGATTGTTATTTGTTATTGTTATTGATTGATTGATTGATCAAATCATTTTGACATCTTGATAACTTTAATAAATAAATATTAGTACCATTTTTAATATTGAAAGATTATTGCTATGCTAATATGTCAAAAATTTATATTGCATTATATACATAACTATATTAGTAGTATTAAAATAATAGCAAATACCAGTTAATTATTATATTAATATACAGATTTACAAAAACGGCTCGCTTTTTATTATGGTTAAATAAAATGTAGATTGATACACGAGATTTATTGATTGGAAATTAAAAATTTTGATTTTTTATTATTTATTTGCTATGCAGGTAATGTTTGCACTTCACAACCATATCCATCATTACACGTGTAGAAATATGATCCTAGAATTGGTTAAGTTATGGTTTATACACAACTACTAAATTGAGATTTATTGATTGTTTAATGACGTTATACTTGCATACCTTTATTGTTATTGCAAAAAATTTGCGATTTAGTTTTTAAAGGCCAGGAAAATTTTGGTAATTTCTTAACCCTTTACGCATATTAAAAGTTGATTTTTCCAACTCTGCCGGCAAAAACCTAAGATCATTTAATTTTGGTAACTTTTTGATTAGATAATTTAAAAATTGGATAATGATTTAAATTCCCATATAAGTATAAAAAAGTACACCCATTTTTATTTATTTATATATACGGAATTTTCAACACACGTTTTATATATTAAAATGCTATTGGGCATAATTTTATATTAATAAATATAAATAAGCAATATATTAACAATGCAATCAATAATTATAAATATTATAAATAAGCAATATATTAACAATGTAATCAATAATTAATTCTCCTCTCTTATTTTTATGAAATGTCGTCGTCTCAATCGATAAAAACAAGCGCTTCTACGTCTTCTTCTCCCCAAAATCATCAGTTCTCATCTCCAACATTAAAAGTACCAATACGACCTCTGCCTTCTTCATCTTCTTCTACAAACTCATATTCCGTCGTTGATAATAATGGATCCAAGAAAAACAGTTTGGCTTCAATAAACACATTCCCTAATAATAGTTTAAATGTTACGTTTCCTATTTGTGGTATGTTTTCTGTTTGTTTCTCCTGATCTTGTGAAATGCACACATAAATATATTTTTGTAAAATATACAATAAACACCTAATCTCTAAAACAATATTATTATTATTTACTTTTCTCAAAATAGAACAATCAGTCAATCCCAAAAATATAATTGGTAAACCAACTAAACGGGGAAGGAAACCGTTAAGTATCATGCCATCAGCCGTAAGTTACTAGTTTAGTTAAATGCTTTTTTTTTCTTTATTGACTTCATTAACTAATTCTTGTAACCGTTCATTCTTTTAATTTATTTACAATTTTTTATATTGCGTCATTTATTATATTATCACCTCTCTACACATACACACGCTTGTGCATATGAATCTACGTGTAACAACAAAATCATACAACGAACAAACAACCTTTACTATATTTATATCATAATTTATATATTATATACTACATTTGCATAATACGTGTCCAAAATAATAGAAAAAGCACATCCAAAACTTAACTAACCAACGTGCCTTTCGCCAACGTCGTGAAACTTATCGCAAAACTTTAGAAACCAAAAATACAGAACTAGAAGCTAAACTTAATGAGGCAAAAATTGAAATTGAATCATTAAGGAAAAAAGTGGCTTCATTAGAGAAACAAATTGGCAGTGCTAATAGTGGAACTGCTTTTTGTGATAATTCTGCTGGTGGTTATGTTAATTTTGGCAACAATATTAACACATCATCACACTTATATCATGATAGAACTGTTGATAATTCATGCTGCGATATTATAGGAACTTCTGATTCTACCAATATGCTCTTCTCATCTTCTCTTATGGATGAAGATACTCATTTCTTTCGTAACTTGGAAAATGATGATGATAACAATAATTCATGTGATTCATCATTTTTCTACCAGAACAACAAAGTTTTATCATCCTATAATAATATATCTCCCTCACCATCATCACCATCACCAGTGACGACATTACAATTTACAGATCAATTACTTGGACAACCAAAAGACATACAAATTATGACATTGAATCCTGGTAAACATGAATTCATCACTCGTGCTCACAACATACCTGAAACAGTTGATGATATCATTCAGAATCGTTTATTCTGTGACACAAAAAGAGGTGATCTTTGCCTTTGTGAACCTGCATCTGATGATTTAATGACAACAACAGATGACAATATTGAAGAAGATAATAGTGGAGATGTTGACAAACAATATGATAATTCATATCAAATACCTTTAGCATCATCAACAACAACAACAACACCATTGCCATCAACATCAACATCATCCCAAATTGCAAATCATCATATAGATAAGAAAGCAGGAAGGATATGGATTGTACCAAAAGAGATTGTTCAACAATGCATATCATCAGAAACTCCTTTGTATTCATCTACTACAGGATTAAACAACAATCTAAACAACAATAACACCTACAATATAAATCCACTTTCTTCACCTATTGATTCTTCCTCCTCTGCCACTAATCAATGGGAAGGTTTTTATTCTCAATCTTCACCAACTTCAATTTACCCACAACCTTCTCCTTCTCCATTAACTCCAATTGATCTACCACCACATTACAAATGGGTTCTAAAAGACATGCGTACTGAAGCAAACCTGTAATTTAACATTAATATTAATCATAATATTATTCATTTTAAATTTTTTTGTGATTATTTAATCATAATAGATTTCCTCCTTTAAAATTCAAATATTAAGATTTTTCCTACATTTTCATTATATGATTTTATATATTCCTAACATCAAACAAAACAATTAATTAATTTAAGTTATTATTTTTTTTGGAGGACTAATATTAATTAATACCTAATCTTTAAGGTTCATTTTTTACATTTAATTATATCGATATTAATTTTTGTATATAAATAGTTTATTTTTTTTTATCTCAAAAACTTGGATAGACACACATTATTGTTTTTACCGCTTTATTCGAATCTTTCATTTTCTTCGTAGATTATCATTAAAAAAGACATATAAAGACATTTCATATAGAAACTTTAAAAATAACCACTTAACCTTCTTTTCGTTTAGTACATATATAGATATACGTATTTTTATAACTTCTTTGTAAATTTTTTCATTTTTTTTTCTTAATGATAGTGAAAAGTTTTGTATAAAATTTTACATTTTTTATTTACATTTTTAGAAAACATTTTTTATTTATTATATTGTATAAAATAATTTGAGGAAAAATTTATTTTATGATTCATAAAAAAAAAAACACATTTAATGTGTTATATATTCACTATTTTTATGTACAGTTTTTTTTTTATTTTTTCTAATTAAAAAAAAAAAAATCAAGGGATCAATTCAAAGAAACTAAAACTTTCAACTCACAAAAGCTGGTTCATGAGCTAGCTCATTCAGAACTTTTACTTTTAGCATTTATTCAAAAAATTATACATATACAAACTTTTTAAATAAGGCTACAAACAAATCAAATCAAAGTTGGATTTTAAATTGATTTGATTGTTTCAGATCAAACCAAATCATGGTTTGAATTCAAACAAAAACTGGGTTTGGTTCATTTGTTCCATAACTTGGTTTAATTTGAATCAAACTGGATTTTTAAATCAACATCATATTTTTAAAATTTTAAAAATAAAATGTGTGCTTTTATTACTAGAATAAAGTAAATTCAGTCAAACCTCTCATTTCAACAAATCTATGCCTTGTTGTATGTTAAAACCAATTAAAAGGAATGTCTCAACCCAAACACCTCTGTACTAAATAATGTTAGATTTTTGAAAAAGTATGTACAAACTCAACAATCAAGTTTTGAGTGTATACAAAAATTAGAGATTATGGAATGTACAGACAGAACAAAAAAGAATAGTCAGTAGGGTTATATATACACTTTAATGTATAAGTTGTACCCGCATGCTTTTTTGAGTTGGGTGTGCTGAACTTGTAATTGTACTTACTGTATTAGCTGTTATAATTTTATTTTTTGTACTATTGCAAATATCTAGCTTGACACACAGCTAGCTATTGATTACTTGCTATTATCAGCAAAAGTTTTAGCAATTTATTAATTATTATTTAAAGTCAAAATTATTTAAGATAAATATATTTGTATTTTTATTTAGTAATAATAATGTTGTTATGTTATGTTAAGAGTGTTAAGATAGTTATGAATTAATTGTTCTTTAGCATGGTCAAATTCTAAGCATATTTATACATCTTGGAATGGTACAAATAATGTGACTTGTATAACCATTTTAATTCTAAATTTAAACATTGTAACATTTCACCAAGTAAATATTTAAATCATATGAGTAATACAAATATATAATTATGAAAATTTTATAATGCAACATTGCATAATATGTGGTGTAAGCCTTACACTATAAAATGTAGAAATATGTTTGTCAATCATGATGTAATATTTGATGTATCATGTAACTGCTGGGGACCTCCTACCAATCCTCATCACTGCAAAAAGTGTACTGTAAGATCATGCCTGGGTCGCACAAAAACCTCAATATTTTATTCATTTCAACATAAAATTCTCCATGATTATATATAATCAATAATTTCAATAATGACTTTCCAATAAAGATTACCTATTATCCCCTGAACCCATTTTTCTGTTTCTTGATGTCTTCTTAACTGTTATTCTCTGTATTACCAAGTCAGGCACATATTCTATATAGGGTTTCTATTTGAATAAGATTTATTCAAATTATTATTCATTTTATTTGTTATGAATTTGAATATTCAAATTACATTGAAAGTTTATTTGAATAAAACTAATAATTCAAATTAATTTGAATAAAATTTCAATAATTAAGCAAGCTACAGGAATAATATTTTGCAATTATATTTCCAAACATTCAATTAAATAGCCTGTCAGAGAGTTTTTTAAAGGTTCAAAGTTATCAACTCTATTGATTTACTATTTTGGATGTGTCACAAAATTTTCAAATAACAGTTAAAAAATCTGCATATATGAAAATTTATGTTTATTATTATTGATGATCAACCACTGCGACCAACTCAATGGAATTTGGAACCTGTATAAATAGAATAGATTCAAGATACCTATATAGTCCCTACAACTTGCTGCGCTATGGTAACAATTTTTGAGAAATTTTTCGACTTCACGTGATTTTAGCATAATGGACACTCGTTTTGTGCAACAATCATTTGTATAATAGGCAGGTGGTTACACAGAGCCTGTTGCTTCTGAAACTTCACTAGAATATAGCTGTAGCCTCTCTAAGTCCAGATCATCAGCAAGATCAAAATTATCTCACACTTTTATAATCAAACTTTTGCAAGAACTTTCACCACAACATATGTTATGTTGATCATTTTTTTGTGATCTGCAACAGTGTCCACTATGCTTGTGATTTTAGTTGTAAAATTATTTCTTTATGATAACCATGAGCTAGTCTAAATTTAGTAATGATCTAGCGGCCAAATTTCTCAAAATACATGTACTAAAAAAAAAACTAAAGCCATATTCTATCTATACATGAAGTCGAAACTGATTTTTACTATGTAGTTTCCTCAAGTTGAAACATTTTGACTTTGGGGTTTTAATTTCGACTTCATGTATAATTCTATCAACTAATAACGCTATTTTTTAAAAGGTAGGACAGAAAGTGACTTCTATACTTTTAAAATTTGTGCAAAATTTAGGAGGTCTTTAGACTGAGTCAACTATACTACTACTGATTATATTTGTTTATGAAACCTTTTAATTAAAGGTAATAACTCTATAAAAAAACAAAGCGTAATGAACCTTTTTAAGTTAAAAAAAAACATAATGAAGTTTTGGAAAAAGTAGTCATTTTAAAGGTGTAAAAAATATCAAAACCAACTCACTGCCATAAACACCCTATAATAATGACTATAAACATAATGTATTTAAATAATAGCTTTACTAATGTAATGGTGCAATTTGTAGAAGCCTTGGATTCCATGTAGTTGCTCTGGCAATTTTTTATCATGTATTTATAATTAATTATATATCTTAAATAAACAAAAAAAAAAAAAAAACAAATAAATATGACTTAGCTTTTTATTACTATCCAATCCTTTCTTTGTGTGTGAATGATGATACCTTTTTGTATATGTCTATTAAATATTTGTGATGATTACACAATATGTTTGATAGTATTATTCTTAAATTTGTTAAATAAATAAATTGCATCACTCGAGTAATAATATTACTAGAAATAAAACTTTTTAAGGAACAAATTTTGGGGAAGCCACACACAAGCAGAGATGAGAGAAAATCTGGCAGTGGTAATTTTCATTCCCTTAAAAATGAATGACTGATTACAAGTGTGCACTGAAAAGTGGAGAATAGACCCGTGATGTATTTGTTGAATTTAATCCAAAACCTCTTTCTGAGTGGTGGAAAAACTTTAGTGTATTGTGAATGTGTGTTGCGCATGTGTGCTTCCCGATTATGCATGAATGCAACTTATTCAATTCCTCAAAAATCGTTTCAAAACCATTTCAAAAAATATATAATCTCTAAATTTGACTGATATTGATTGCAGGTGTCAAATTTAATAAATTTCCTATCGCAAACATGTAGTTGATGCTCTTAACACGCCTCATAACCATTGAATTTTTTCCATGGGTGAAGTTCCCACAAATCGGAAGGCTTTGGACAAGCAAGATGCTCTAACCAGTATTGTCATTTGGCCATTAGCCAGCCAACACTATCAGCCAAAAATGGCCAGCCTAGACAGTGAGAAATTTTTTCCACAAATCATCAGTTGTAACCCATGTCCTATGAGCCAACCTTTTTAAAGAGTCACTCCATTGACTTGGCACAATGATTCGCTAATGTTTTTTTTTAGTTGGTCAAATGGCCAAATACCAGCCATCTCCTTGACAATGATGCAATTTTGATAAACCTTAGGCCACGCCCCCCCCCCTAAAGTCTAATCACATTATTATATCATCGGGGGGCGCAAGTCAGCTTAGCCTTTCTTTATATGCTCGAGGAACAAGAGAATGGCTTAACTAAAAGTTTCCATCCAATTAACAAATGTTCTAGATCAAGTTGCTTAGTGTTTTTGAATTGTCCAAACGCGTGTAGTTTTCCATATGTGAGAGATCTACAACAGTTATTAATAACAATTATGCAAAAACATACATATATACAAATCATTCATGGTGATGAATAATTAACCTTACCATGTAATATGCAAGACTTGAGCTTTTGATCTATATTATGATTTTATTATTGTATAAAAAAAAAAATAGAAAATAATCTGTGTGACATGTTTCTTTTTTTATTATTATGAAAAAAAAATCGCGTGGTATATCAAAAAGCATAGCGTCGCAAAGAATTTTTTAAACGTAATTAATTTAATTATCTTTCTACTACAAAACTATTTCCATTCCAAATTTCTTTAATACTCAAAAAAAAAAGGTCTTTGAACTAAAAAGAAAAAGAACAAGATGAGAAGGAATCGCTGTTGATCGAGAGTAGGTATTGTTTTTTTGTCGCGTGCATTGTCGTCATTGTAGTTTACTGATTATAAAATTTTTTTTCTCTCTAGAATATTATATCAATTATTATAGCGACCTTGGTAAATGTATTAACTTGGATGCATTATTCAATGACATCAAAGACAGTATACAGGAAGGAATGCCACCATTGAAACCGTTACAACCAGGGTTGGCAAATGTATGGTCCATTGGTGGTCTATTGGTGATCCATTGATTCCATTATAGCCATATTTAGTAATTTATTAATGCAATGGACCAGTTAATCTGCAAACCCTAGTTACAACTGCTTGAGTTATCAAAAGCTATTTACGAGGTATCTTCATTATTGTTTATTATTAATAATAAAAGTTTATCGTGTCATAATTTAATTCGTTTTAAAAAAAAATATACTCAAGGGAGAGAAAGAATTGGAAGGAAAGAAAGAATTGGAAAGAGAGAAAAATTCGGAAGAGATGGAAATTTTTGAAGAAAAAGGAGAAGAGATGGAGGAGGATTCAGAAGAGGGAAGAGAAGCGGAAGAGATGGAGGAAGAGAAAGAGGAAATTGAAGTGGTACCAATTGAAGAAGTTTATGATAATAATAATGATAGTAATAATGATAATGATAATGATAATGTTAACGTTAATAGTGACGATAATGACAATGTTGACAGCAATAATAATAATGATGTTAATGGAAATGAAGAAGATAGCATTAATATTAATGGCAATAACGATGAGAATGGTAATGTTATTAATAATGCTGATAGCAATGATGATAATGTTGATAGCGATGAAGATGAGAACGGTAATGGTAATGGTAATGATGATGATGATGATGATGATGATAATGATGATGATGATAATAGTGAATTGGAAAGCCTTGACGAAAGGAGGTTTGTGACCGCTTGGAATACCAAATGGTCAAAAGAAGAATTGATCATTCTCCTAAATCATGTACTTCGAAAGAAGATAAATTGTAATGAACTACAAATGAATGGAATATCAAGAAAAAAAAATGCTATTTCATTAAAATGGAGGTCAATGAAACGACAAGTAAAGAAACTGTTTGGGGTAGATTTTTAAAAGTTGATGGTATAAAAAAATAACTTGTTAATAATTTAATCATTTATTTGAGCAAACAATTTACTTGTCATTTGCAATGACGAATATATCTTTGGCATTTGATAATTATTGCAACTATTATTTTAGTTTAGTAGATCAATCATTCTTGGATATCTTTGTGTAGTGCTCAAACAATATTTCTTTTGTTATCATTATCATGTCACGTATGTTTTCTCTAAAAAGTAAATATTTCAAATATTTCAGCCTTACATCTATTCTTTCTACTAAGTTAATGTTATCATCCGTATGTTTATATAATCCTTATACTACTCTATACTATATATCCACAAAATCTGATTAATACTATATTATATTAAAAATATAAATGAAAAGGTGACAATTTTTGTAGGTGCTCAATTAATAGGGGTTATTTTTGGATTAAATGGTTTTAAATTTGTTAACAATAATTCATTACAATTATTATATAGATGGAGGTGCTCATGATTATTATAAACATTTCATCAGAAAGAATGTGTCGAACGATATCTACGGATCTCTATTCATATAAAAGGAACTCGTGCTGTTTAATTAGACAATTGAATTGATATTTATTATGTAAGAAATGTAAGTTAAAAAATGTAATAGTTAGTATTTACAAGCTAATTAATTTATTGTTACGCTATATATAAAATTTTTAAAAATACAATATAAATAATATATAATTCATACATCATAAATAAATAAAAATAAATAAATTAAATAATGATAATGATGCTTCATCAGAGACCAGTTAAAATGATCTTTTTCTTAAATCTTCTCTTTTATTATTATTATAGACACTATTGTTATTATTATCTTTATTACCATTACCATTACTGCCATCATTGATAATCAATTTACTTGAATCAAAATTACTACTGCCGTAACCACTACCATTATTACTAATGCTACTTTCAGACCATTTCTTAAAAATTTGTTCCAACATTTTCAGACTAACCGGTTTAGTCAGAAATCCATCTACACCACTCTCATACGCCAGCTCTTTATCTTCTTCGCTTGCTAGACCTGTTAATGCGAATATTAATGCCCTATTATTATTATTACTTTTATTAAATCTTCTTGTTGAATTTGAATTCGGAGAATTGGTGGCGATGTCGGTGTCGGTAGTTATAGGTGATGGAAATTGATATGATGTGGTAGTGGCGGCAGACGGTAATGAAGAAGAAAATCCTTTTATTACTTTTGTAGTATATGACGTTGATTTATATTTTTGTTGCTTGTGTTTTTTTCCCATCATTCGTTGCTGCTGCTCTAATTTACGTATTTTTGCCGTTGCTACATTACCGTTCATTACTGGCATTTGTATATCTAATTAATAAAAAACAAAAATAAGCATTATTAAATACGTATGTGTATATGCATATATAATCATTATATTTAAACATATATAACATACCCATTAATACAATATCAAAACTCTTTTTCTTAATTCCATAACTAATACATCCGCTTTCTTCTTTTTTGCAATCATCTTCCTCCTCTAACCTATTGCGGAATTTTTCAACTCCAATCTCTCCATTCTCCGCTTCCTCATATTCAATACAGCGTTTTTTCAAAAATGTAGCTAAAATCATCCTATTGACAGCATTGTCTTCTACGATAAGTACTATTGGAGAACGAGGAGTTGGTGGTGGTTGATTTTCTGCTATTACTTCTAATACTTTATTTGATTGTAAAATGCCATCATCAATTACACTTCCACTAGCACTGCTGCTACTATCTTGATCGGATTCGTACACAAAGGTGGTAGTAGTAGTAGTATGTGAATTTAATTGATTATTGTGTGGTGGTAGGACTGGTAGGAATTTTGGTAGAGGCGGAGAAGTAGAAAGTGGCAGAAGTGGTAGCGTGATGGAACGAACTAATGGTTGTGATTGTAATGGTTGTTTGGTTTGTGTGGATGAAGATGACAATGAAGATGATGAATAATAAGAACTGGATGATGATAAAGATGATAAAGATGATAAAGAAGGTGATGATAATGTTGGCGTACTACTAGCAGCAACTTTATTATTATAAGTTATTGTTGTTGGTGAAATTGGCGAAGTTGGTGAAGTTGGTGAAGTTGGTGAAACTGGAACTAAATAATTTGTGTTGTGATGATGATTTTCAAATAAAATATCATTATTTTTTCGTTTTTTCAATGAATAAGTAGTACTGGGAATAGCACTTAATGGAGGATCAATAATCAATTTCTCTAATAATTGGTTGGAATGACCGTGACCACCATTACCTTCATTTTCTAGTGGTGGTGGTGTCATAATAAATTGAGGAGATGTCATTATTTGTTTATTTAGAAGAAGGCTATTACTATTCTCTTCTTTTAATTTCTTGTAACATGATATTATGACTGATATTAATTTTCGTGGACCACATGGTGTTGACACAACAACAATTTTTCTTCTTTTACGGTTTCGCCCTAAATTTTGGCTTTGATTTTTCAATATTGCAGAATTTTTTCGTTCAATTTCATTTTGGATTGATTCAATTATATCACTAATTTTACTATGTCTAGCCAATGACGTAATGAAAAATATTGGATTGCTTGTTTTATCATCTTCTTCGTTGTCTTTGTTGTATTGTTTATCAACCCATGATGGTAATGATGATGATGAAGTTTTCACAACATTGCTTCTTTTTTTCATCATTAATAAATCTTTTAGAACTTCCAGATTATCATTTATCAAAACAAGATCGCCATCAAGTTTGCTTGGATATTCTTCACAAACAACATTTTCAACCTTAAGCCAATTCTTAAAAAAACGACCAATTGATTTTTTAAATTTTCCTTTTACGCACTTGACTATAACATTCTTTTCTTTAAGTTCGTTTAAAATAGTTTCATGTTCAAACTTTGTCCCTTCTTTTCTAAGATTAGTAGATGTTGGAATACTGGTGGTGGTAGTGATAATTGGTATGGTGTTGACGTTCATAGATTCGTTCCTACTATAATCTTTATTATTATCATCATCATCATCATCATTGTCATTGTCATCATTATGAAGACGTACTTGATTAAAATTTAACCAAATTTTAATTCTAGTTCCAACCGATAATTCACTCTCGACATCTAATTTACCGCCCATTTTTTCCACTAATAATTTCACTATACACAGTCCTAAACCCGTACCAGCTTTTAACGAGTCTTCTTGTGAAAATGGTTGAAATAATTTGGTGGTTAGAAAATGAGGTGATATACCTTTACCCGTATCGGTTATTGTGAATAAAACATGTAATTTATCATCATCTTTGTCACTTTGGGTATTACTATTGTTATCGTTCTCATCATATGAATGAAAACATGATGTATCGTTACAATTTGTATTAGAGCATGATCGTACACTTGTTAATGATAGATGAACGTAACCTTCTTGAGTGAATTTAAGTGAATTTCTAATGACGACAATAATAAAAAAGTTTGAATTTCATTAATTGATTGATTGATTGATTGATTGATTGATTGATTGATTGATTGATAATTGATTTAATGATTATCAAATAAAAAATAAAAAATGATAATTAGTTAGAAAATATCACTTACCCAACAATCTAATTGCAATTATTAAATTAAATAAATGAATAAATAAATTAATTAATTAATCAATCAAAAAAATCCAAAATACATAATATATACACAGATATGTAGAAAACTTACATTCATTAACATTTGTCTGATAGGACCATCTTCACCCATAACCACCCAACCTTTTTCGTTTGTATCAACATCCAATATAACTTCAACAGTTTCATGACTTTCATTACGATCCTGTTTATGAGTAGAATGATGTAACAATTCACTAACTCTTCTTCTTCTTGCTTGTGTTGTAGGAGATATTATATGATTTTTATTATTTAGATGATTACCATCATTGTAATAAAGATCATCACCATCATCATCACCGTCGTTATCACCACCATCGTCATCATAAAAATGATGGTTATAATAGTTGTCGTTGTTGTTATTGTTATTCTTCTCACCATAAACAGCAGATACCATATGTTGACCAACAACACAGGCTTCAGTCACTTCTTCCAATACTTTAACCAAATCAATTCTCTCTTGTTTTCTAGGATTAATTATTGTGGTATACGGTGACGATGACGAGTTGTTATTATCAAAATCATAATAATTATTATTGTTATTATTTTGTGATATGTTTGGTGATGGTGATGGTGATGGCGACTGTACAGAAGATGATATTGATAAAGATCTATGGCGATATTGCTCGCTTTCCAATTTTGCATAATCCAATACACTATTAATGATAGAAATCAAACTTGTGCCACAACCTTGAATAGTTTTTAATAATTCAAGCTGTGAATCTTTCAACTTACTCTCCTCCATCATCAACTCACAACTTGCCAAAATACCATGTAATGGGGTTCTTAACTCGTGAGAAACTGAACTGATAAAAGTGCTTTTGGCTCTATCAGCAACAATAACACGTCTTTTCAACACTTCGCTAACAATATTTACACCAAAGTTACCCAAATAGACACGTTCCTCATCTTCAAATTGCCTGAAAGCATCTTTTGTGAGACAAACTAAAAAGCCAAAAGCAATCTTGGCATTGTCGTAGATTGGCACCACGATACCGGAATGCATATTATTTGGGAATAGAGATGGTATAGATGGCAAACCATTTTGAAAGGTGTAACCTTGTGGATGAGTTTCCATTAAGCGGGTTAGGAAAGAAACGGTCATTGGAGTGTTGAGAGAATCGTCGTCGCCAGAAATGATAGGGAGACCTTCGGCAGCAAGGAATTTTAAATTTTTAAAAAGTGATGACTGAGGAGAAGATGAATTATTAAAAAGATTGGGGGAGATGAATTCGTTTGAGGAAGAGGGAGAATGATGATTGTCTGTTGAAGTGTTGATAGGTTTTGAAGACATAGAAGGCATTTCTAGCAAGTAGAGCGCATCAACCTCCAAGGTATCTTTGATTAATTTAACAGCTTTTTGAAAACAATGTTTCATGATTGGATCACCTTGTTCATCATGTTCGATGATATTATTAGAACTTTCTTTGTGGGCCAATTGAATTTCCAAACAATATTTACCAAATCGAGCAATACTTTCTTGCATCTTATTTCTAACCCTTAATCTTAATCTATCAGCCCATAATTCCAATTCTCTCATTACAACTTTAGCAAAATCCCTCAAAGTTTCACAATCTTTTTCGTTAAAAGTGTAACATGGTTTAGTGTCTATAACACAAACGGTACCGATATTATAGCCATCATTTGTTCTTAAAGGAGCACCAGCATAAAATCTTATGTGTGGAGCATCTACTACCAAAGGATTATTTTTGAATCTCCAGTCTAGTAAAGCATCTGGAACGACAAATGGTTCGTCACCTTCTTGCAATATAGCATGACCGCAAAAACTGACTTCTCTTGGTGTTCCATCATCTCCCAAACCTTCTTTAGCTTTGAACCATTGATTTGACTCATTTACCAGAGATATTAATGAAATTGGGACTTTAAAATGTTCTTTTACTAGACCTACTAAACGAGTAAAATTCACATCACTTGAAGTGTTTAATATTTGCAATCTCCATCTTTTAAAAATAAATGATGACGAAAAAAAAAAATATTTAATTAGCATTCAGTTAAAAAAAAGAATTATATATAATTTAATAAAATCAAATCTATATAACTTACAAAGCTCTCATACGTTCAGTTTCATTTGGTGGCATGGGAGGAGGCAGATAAATATTATAGGTGTCGTCATTAGCGTCTTTATGATGAGAATTATCTGCATCGAATAATTTTGAACTATTATTCAGATTATTTTTTTTATCATTTTTAGAATTTTTACAAGTACTATTGCCGTTAAGGTTAAGAAAAAAATTATTGCAGTAGTTGTAGTTGTTTGGACCATCGCCATTACCATCAGATGATGGTGATGGTGAAATCAAATTCAAATCGATGCTACCATTGTCATCAATTATTGACCTTACACATGATAATCTTTTAGGCTTTTTAGGAATACTTGTAGGATCAAAGTTACCACAAGCATAATTATTTAAGAAAGCTTCCATGTCAATTAAATCATTTTGGTATAATAAATATTCTTTTGAGATCGAGGTTGACAAATTGATTGCCTTTTTGTGATTTGAAGAAGTTGAAGAATTTGTAGAATAATTTAAATTACGAATTTGTTGTTTTTTCAAATGTATTACTTCTTCCTCTTCTTCCTCTTCTTCCTCTTCCTTTTCTTCTTCTTCTTCTTCTTGTTGTTGTTGTTGTTGTTGTTGTTGTTGTTGTAAGTGGTAGGAATATTGAGATCTGTGATATTTAAATTCTTTATTTTGTTCAGAATTAATTATATCATTACACATATGGGAATAAAATTGGTTAGACATTTTTGGTGTTGATTTGAAATTTGTCGATGGTGATAAAATTTTTGATTCGTCAAAGTCGCGTGAATAATTAAAAACTGAATGATTTTTATTAAAAGATTTACATTTTAATTCATTATAAATATTATTTGTAAAGATCAAATCATCATCAGGATAACTAGTACTATTTAATTTGAAATTCTTTTGATAATATAAAGATGGATTTTTTAATAATAGTAGAATTGAATGGTTTTTCTGATTGTTCTTGTCAATATGATGAATGTCAAAGTGATTATTGGTAGTCGTGTTATCGTTATCTGTGTTAATATTAATTGTGGAGACAGAATAAGATGATACCATTTTTAAAAAAGTCGAGGATTTTTCGTGGAAAAGAAGATTTTAATTGTAAATTGAAATAATGAAATGTGGAGTTTATGAAATTTAATTATGTATGAAATAATGAATAATGTATTGTGAAAAAAACAAGTAAAAAATTATACAATATTTACAAAAAAATTTTATGAAAATAAAATAAACAGAAATAAAATTCTTGAGTTTTTATGTATTTTCTCCTAAATGGATTGACTTTTTATTTATTTTGACTTTTTAATGGACTACTATTATCTATTTTATTTTTAAATATAAATAAATAAAATATAAATAACGAGATTTGTTTGTTATACTAAAATAATAATTGGGAATTGTTTCCTTAATATTAAACCAATAATCATAAACACTGTTTTATAAATCTAACTTTTTATAGAAAGATTTATTTTTCTAATAATTAAGATTTCTCAATTTTCACGGACGATCCAAAATGCTAATACTAAGTAAGATATATGCAATTCATAATATACATGCGTAAATTTTCAGCCAATAATAAAAAAGAATTTTGCACCCAAAGCGTCATAAATTTAAAAATCGAATTTCACGCATAACAAGCACAATTTATATAAGAAACAATAGTTATTTTTTATGTAAACTTGAAAATCGAAAATTCACGAAGAATACACATGTACATAAACCAGAATATTATGATCTCTACTACAAAAAAGGAAAAGAATGGGTCACAAAACAATTTGTGTACAGTACGAAATAGGGCAATCGTAATAATCATACTTACGCATGACATAGCTTACAAATAAAGTATAAAAAAGAAATAATATTTTTTCTACATCGTTATTCTGTTGCCATCGATGTTACCGAGATCATTTTTACAGTCCATCCATTTGTAGTAAAAATTTTTCGATTTGTGTATTTATTTATTATTACGCAATTAGTCAATATAAATATTTGATGATTGCGTTTATTAATTAATATCCATACTAATACACATTTCTTTTTTTTTCGATTTGTTCATACACTTAAAAAATTTCATCATCTCGACTTTATACCTCCCGAATTTTACTATCAGACCAATAATCGAGGTTGGATGAATGAATCATCGTTATATATATACTTATTCGAAAGTAGTCTGTCATATAACAACAAAAAAAAATAATCTCGTGTAACAATAATTAACATTTCACATAATATAATAATATAATGTAATAGTAATAACTATTGCGCAGAATGTCCAAAGACTTTGTATCTGTGGCTCCAACGTTTTATATTGAACACAAAAGATCACTAATAAATTAAAAAGAAAATTGTCGTAAATCTTACTACTCTATATTTCTTGATCGCCTTGATTTACATCATTTTTTTTTTGAAATTCAACATTTTAATACATCAGGAAATCTAGTAACAAATATTCTATACAATTCTAAGGGTAAGCGCACAATTCACATGAAAACTACAGTCAAACCTTGTCACAACGGATTTTAAATAAGATTTTCTTGTGTGTCCCGTTCATACGCTTGATTGTACACACATATTTTTTTTTTGTTTGCAAACTTTACGTAGTTTGTGCGCTTACACCGCAACCTATAGAATATATGTAGAACATTTGCTGCTAATTTTCTGATGTACTAATTGACTCATCATCCAACGAATAAATTTTATGACTTTTCCATTGTAATAATAAACCTTTGTACAATTTGATACTCTTGAAATGTTGTCATCATTTAGATGATTTCTTTGCGAGAAAAATAAACTAATTAATAAAAATGTTATATATATCAAGTAATATTGTTATATTTTCATAAAGAAATTCATAGCAATCACTAATTAATATTAATAAAATTTCTATTCCGCGTGCGTTGTTTTACATGTTACATGTATTTTCTAGTATTAGAATTATATGCATGCAGTTTTTATTCTATAACGAAATTTTGTATTCTAGAAAATTAGCTGAAGGAATGTTGAGAATGCCAATTTTGTGATAATATTCCTAACATATAATGTGCTGTATGCACACAAGCTTTGTTTGTTCGGGCAAACAAGTACTACCAAGGATTCAGGAGTCAAAATTGTATTTTTTAGTGCCAAGTAATTATTTTTTTTTTTTTTTTAATTTAGAAATAGGAAGAATGATAAATCTAGATTCACATGTTTACATTATATGCAACAATTCATATAACTCAAAGATCAAAATGAAACATGAAAACATTCTAATTATCATGAATGATCTTTAAATGTTCCTTCTCCTTCTGAATATTGTTTGTTAGAATTCAATTTTTAATAAAAAATTGGTATGTTCCTAGACATTTTTAAAGATGGTATTCGCTTGCTAGGCATTTTTATCTATGTTTGTTTGTTGGAGGAGAAGGCGGTGAAAAATTAAAAGATTTACATGGTGATGAAGATTGGGCAATTAGGTATTATGACAACAATCAATATGTTTATATAGATATTATTGATAATCAAATAAAGAAGAGGTTGAGTTAATAGAAGCTAATGGTAGTGGTATTTCCTCTTCAAGAATAATTATTAATTTTTTTTAACAAATAAAAGAAGTTAGTATTTTTTTATTAATTTCATCTAATCTAACTAATTCAATTAAAATATATGTACAGTCAACCCCCTCTAAGTAATGATGATGTTAGCCGGCTAAAAAAATTTTCTCTTAACATTCGTTTTTAAGACTGGAGTTTTAGTGTAGAATAGTGTTCCATGTTGCAATCCAAAAAAGGAAACCAAAGTGGTCGCAAAGGTGGTTGCAACCAGGTGTCGCAAACCATTTTTATATGTCGCA